TCAGTCTGGCCCTCCCCAGTCCCATGTGAGGGAGGTTGCTGGACCAGGCGAGGTTAATTTGCAACCCTCTGCTGATGGGTTCTGGGCTTTCCTGGGTTCCATCAGCCAACCCAGCCAGGCTGCTCTCTGGGCTTCGCACCCCCACCCAGCACCACTGCCGGCCCTGGCCCCCGTCCGGCTCTCTCATGGACACCGGGCTCCACAACTGGGATGGGTTCCACTGCTGCTCTGGCCCTGGCTGCAGGCTCTGCTCCCCGGGCTGCTACAGCTGCCGGTCCGACCCCGGGTGCCAGGCTTCCGGCTCCTCTGCAAGACGCCAGCCCCCTTGTCCCACTCCCAGCCACTGGACCCCAGACCAGAGCTGTCAAGACCAGGGACTCTCTGGGGCCTGACTCTCCTCTGTACAGTTCTCCCTTCCTTACTGCCTCTCCCAGCTACTCAGCCCCGGACTTTTCCCTCTGCCCTCATGGAGGAGTCACCCCATTCCCAGAACTTGTCTTGGAAACCCCCTTTCAGTCCACTCCATCCCCTCTGGAGACCTGGTAACCAGACAGCGCCCCTGCCCAGAGCAGGTGATTCACCCCCTTCCTCAGGCACCCAGACATCGCTGTGAGTCGGGCGCTGTTCAAAGGCGCAGGTGTTGCTGTTGAGCTTCTGTGCGTGGTGCTCGGGTCTTTCTCCTGAGATGAGGTCTAGTCTGGATGTTTCTCCCAGCACACGTCTTCTCCACAGCTTTGGGGTTTCCTCTCAGATTTCAAGCAGCTTGGTGAATGGGAAAGTCGCTGCCATGTGGGCCGCCTGGCCTGGGCTGCAGGAAGGTGGCCGGTGTTCACCCAATAGATTGGGAGCTTCCCCACATCACACCATGGCATGTCATTGACACAGGGGGCACGGTGGGGTGTGGAATTGGCATTAGCAGGGTCAGTGTTTCCTAATTCGTTTCTCTGATTAATGCACAAGCCATTGGTCACAGCGTGAGGCGCGAGCAGCCTGCTTCGGCCTGAGAACAGCCTGCGCTCTGTCATGTCGTGTCTCACATGAACGTTGTCTCTCCATCCAGGCATTGGGTCTGTGACCATCTCCCTGCACCCTCGGCACATGGTATAACTCAGGGATCGCACGGCACATGCTGAAGTCCCCGTTCTGCCTCCGAGTTGGACACCTTCTCCTCTACTCCATGCCAGATTCCAACACAACCCACTTCACCGGCAACCCCTCCACCTTCATCCTGCAGGGCATCCCTGGCCTGGAGGCTGCCCATGTCTGGATCGCCATCCCCTTCTGCGTCATGTACGCCATAGCCATCTTGGGGAACGTCGCCATCCTCTTCATTGTCAAGAAGGAGCCAACACTCCATGAGCCCATGTACTATTTCCTCTGCATGCTGGCTGTAGCTGACCTGATCCTGTGTACATCCACCGTTCCCAAAATGCTGAGCCTCTTCTGGTTCAATTCCAGGGAGATCGATTTCAATGCTTGTCTCACCCAAATGTACTTCATTACTTGCTTCTCTAGCATGGAGTCTGGGATCTTCGTGGCCATGGCCTATGATCGCTATGTGGCCATCTGTGATCCCCTGAGACATTCCACCATCTTGACGAACACAGTAGTGGCCAAGATTGGCCTGGCTGTGGTGCTGCGTGGTACCATAGTCTCACTGCCCTACCCCTTGCTGGCGAGGCAGTGGCCGTATTGCAGAACCAACCTCGTCCCTGAGCCAGTCTGCGCTCACATCGCCGTGGTGAAACTGGCCTGTGCTGACACCAGCATCAGTAGCTACTACGGCCTCTTTGGGTTTTTTGGTGTGTTGGGTTTGGATGTGATTTTCATTGCCATGTCCTACACCCACATCCTCAGGGCCATCTTCCGCCTCCCTACCAAGGATGCCCAGCTTAAAACGTTTTGGACCTGCAGCTCCCATCTCTGTGTGATCATTATCTTTTACATCCCGGGCCTCTCCTCCTCCCTCACCAGCCGATTTGCACAGAACGTGCCCAAGTACTTCCAGCCTCTTATTGGCAAGATGTACCTGCTTGTCCCCCCCATGCTACACCCCATCATCTATGGGGTGCGGACCAAGCAGATCCGGGAGAGCCTGCTCCGCCTCTTTACTCCTAAAGGGCCCTAACATTTTCTCCTAGGGCCCTGGCTCTCAAACAGCTCTGTGCTGAGCTGGCTGATAACAGGGTGCTGGGCCCCTTTCCCTGAACCACTTACTGGGGAGGCAAAAAGACATTTCCCCCAGACCCCACTTATTTTTCTAAGCCCCTCCCTCCATTCCACCTACTCCAATGGGGCCCAGCCCCCATCTCCATTGCTTCCACCATCACTCTGCCCTTGTCCCTGCCTTTTATGCATCCCCCCCCATCGTTCTATGGACCTTCTCACTCTGTTCAGCCGTAGCCGCAGCCATGGTGGCACAACCCGCAGCCCTAAATTCACCAGCAGAACAGGCTACACAGTCAGCGGCCATAGATATATATTTAGTTACCATGGGGACAATTTCTCCAGACAGGGCAGGTTGGGTGCTTCAGACCTAGCTGCCCAAACCATTCCATTTACGCATGAGGGAGCAATCATGTTTTTAAAGGCTCAGTGCTGTCAAAGAAAATGTCGGCCCTGGGAGATCAAAGCCCGACAGAGCACATGTATGTGCCTAGCAGGGCGTCTCATAGATATATATTTAGTTACCATGGGGACAATTTCTCCAGACAGGGCAGGTTGGGTGCTTCAGACCTAGCTGCCCAAACCATTCCATTTACGCATGAGGGAGCAATCATGTTTTTAAAGGCTCAGTGCTGTCAAAGAAAATGTCGGCCCTGGGAGATCAAAGCCCGACAGAGCACATGTATGTGCCTAGCAGGGCGTCTGAAGAAGTGAGAGTAGCAACCATAACACAAATCATTTCTGAGCTCTGCCCCTTCTCCTGCACTCTTCAGAGAAGGGGCATGTGGATGGGGGAAGAGGGGAGGAGAGAGACACCCTGAAATCAGCCTCCCCCACACACAGAGAAAAGGAAAGTCCTGGGAACAGCTGGCTGGGGGTACAAGGCAGAAAGGCAGGAGCAGGGTGGCAGAGTGGGGAGGATCGCTGGGAGAGAAGTTGTCAGATGTGTCTGTGCTGCTGTGTCACTGCGGGCGACCGCTTCCAAACGAGGGGTGTCGGAGATTGGTCACTTTGTGTGTCTGATGTTCATACGCTGAGGATGTGTCTAAACTACATGGCTCTGTCGATGGAGCCATGTAGATTAGTCAGGACGGCAAAGAGAAATGAAGCCGTGACTTAAATAATCGTGGCTTCATTTACATAAAAATGGCCGCCACGCTGTGCCAATGAGCTGATTGTCGGCACAGTGTGGCAGTCTAGATGGGGATCTGCCGACCCCAGAACCCTTCATCGGCAGATCCTGTTGGCCTCGTTTCAGCAGATCAGCACAGTGCGGCGGCCATTTATATTTAAATGAAGCCATGATTATTTAAATTACAGCTTCATTTCCCTTCTTCGTGTAAACTAATGTGCATGGCTCCGTCGACAGAGCCATGTAGTTTAGATGTACCCCGAGGGTCTCCAGTGACCCTTTCGGTATGAATCCCTGCTTTCCAGTCACTAAAGTAAACTATAGTAAAGAATAAAATTGTCAGACACATGGATGAATATAATTTGTTGGGGGAAAGTCAACACGGTTTCTGTGAAGGGAAATCCTGCCTTACTAATCTATTAGGGTATGTCTACACAGCAAAGTTATTTCAAAATAACTTTACTAGCATCTACATAGACAAACTGCTATTTCGAAATTACTTTGAAACAGCAGAGCACTTATTTCAAATTTGGTAAACCTCATTCCACGAGGAATAAGGCCAAATTCAAAATAGCTATTTCAAAAAAAGTGCTTGTAGACACTTATTTCGAAATAGGGGGCTTCTAGCCTTCCAAGGGTGCCCCGGTGGCCACTCCAGCCTCGTGGGTGGCCACCCCAGCCTCAACCAAGAACATGCCTCTCCTCCTCCCTCCCTGGAGCCCCAGTGCCTGTGCCAACTTCAAGCCTGCCAGCCCAGAGCCGCATGGGGTCAGACAGGAGCCAGCAGTGGCTGGTCAGTTTCAATGATCCCTCAAACAAGCATTATGCTTTCTCCATCCACAGCCAATTCACAGCCTCCAAGGACAGCACCAACCTCTACGTGCAAATGAATAGCCCAAAAGTAAAGGATTACTGTGCTTCTGTGCTGTGGAATACTGCACCAGAGACAGAGGGAGTGGAAATGAATCTGAATTCAGACACAAACCTTCCCGCGCAGTAACAACACAATGTGTCCCCTGCTGGGGGTGCTGTCCAGCCATAGACTGCCAGCGGCAGTGTGATGGGCACAGCCCAGGTAAAGTAGTCCAGGCTATAAATAGTTGCAGACCAGTGTGGTTTCAAAATTGGTTTAATTCACTCCCCTGGAATTCCTCTGAGCAACAGACTCCCCAGTCTCACCAGAGTTTCCCCCCACCCCTCCTGTTTTGTTAAATAAAGAGAGTTTGTGTTCATGAAAATACGTGTATTTTATTTGTCATCAGGAAGGGGGGTTAGGGAGGGGTAAGTGGAAGGACGTGAGGGAGGAATGAGGCACAAGCCCCCAGAGGGGCAGACCAGGGAGGCTCTTAGTGCTCCTCAGGGTGGAAGCTCTCCCGCAGGGCCTCCTGGATACTGACAGCCCCCCAATGGACGTCCCGGATGGCAGCCTGCAGAAAGTGCAGCCAGGCTCACAGCAATGCATCCAAGAGAAGCACCAGAGAGCCCAGGGGCAGCTCTGGCTCCATGGTGCAGAGTGCTGTGGTGTCCTGAGTGAGGGCAATCAGAGCACGCTGAGACAAAATTCTTTGCTGTCCCTCATCGAGGTGGGCAAGCAAACAGGGAAAGCTGAGAATGGGCTTTCCGGGGGAGGTCCCTTTAAGCACAGGCCTCAGATAGCCTCAGGCAGGAGCCACACAAAGTAACTCCTGACCTGATGCCCTGCCGGACCTGGCTCCGGCCGGCCTTAAATGCGATTCAGCGTCCACTCAGTGTGGACGCGCTATTTTGAAATAAATAGCAAAATGCATTTTGTTTGTAGACGCCAAATAAGCTATTTCGAAATAACTATTTTGAAATAAGACATTTCAAAATAACACTGTACTGTAGACATACCCTTAGAGTTCTTTGAGGGGGGTCAACAAACATGTGGACAAGGGGGATCCAGTGGAAATGGTGTACTTAGATTTTCAGAAACCCTTTGACAAAGTCCCTCACCAGAGGCTCTTAGGTAAAGTAAGTTGTCATGGGATAAGAAGGAAGATCCTTTCGTGGATTGGTAACTGGTTAAAAGACAGGAAACCAAGGATAGGAATAAATGGTCAGTTTTCCAAGTGGAGAGAGGTAACTAGTGGAGTCCCCCAAGGGTCTGTCCGGTGACCAATCCTATTCAACTTATTTATAAATGATCTGGAGAAAGGGGTAAGCGGTGAGGTGGCAAAATTTGCAGATGATACCAAACTGCTCAAGATAATTAAGACCAAAGCAGACTGTGAAGAGCTTCAAAAAGTTGTCACCAAATTAAGTGACTGGGCAATAAAATGGTAAATGAAATTTAATGTTGATGTAGTCTCCTTACTAAAGGTGCCTCTGATTTTTTCTGGGAAGATCCTGTGTGCTACAATCTAGCCCTAGAAACTACAACTCCCATGAGCCCTTGAGGCATCCAGGGGAAGTAGGGCTCATCTGGGCATGTTGAGGGAGGGGCTGGGCAGTCTGGGGCTCTCCATTTTTTGGGAGAGGGGAGCCATGCTGCTGTGGAGGAGCCTTATCCAGTCCAGAATCTGTGGTGTTGCAGCTACAGCACAGGACTGAGAGCCTGCGGGGCTTGGATCTAGCAGGCTGCTTCAAAGGCTGCTGATTGCCCTAGAGGGGAGAGACTCTGGCTGCACCTGTGGCTGTGAAGAGCTACACACACCAGCACACAGGAGGAGGCTGTAAGTAAATGGACTTTTTGGGAAGGTGCTGCCTGGGACAGACCTCAGAGATAGAGACTGACTGTGGGTCCAAAGAGAGGCAGAGTGTCCAGCCCAGGGAACCAGAGATGCTGGCAGTTGGTGGAGCCTGCTCCAGTGGCAGAGGGAGTTTGCAGCTGGCCACACAGCTTGGACTAACACACACACACGAGCAGCACAGGGCTGTCTCCACTCCAGCTGCAGATCTTCAAGCGTGCCCATGCAAGTGTCTGGGACTCTGAGTCCAGAGGAGTGCACACTCTGGGGTGGGATACATGGTGGCAGAGCAAATGCCAGAGATAAGTTCCTATTACTTCTGTGTACTTTGTTATTTGATGTTATTCACTGTTAACCCGTTAAACCCTGTTTCTTTAAGTTGTTAAGTAAAGGTGTTTTCATTCTAAAATGTAATCAATTAGATGTATATTATTTATAATTGTTGTCCTGGAGTTAGATCCAGATTATTGCTGGGCTACGTTTATTCCTGGAGGCTCCCAAGGCACACCATTAAGTGTGTACAGGGCCAGCTAAGTGGAGGCACCGCCATTGTAAATTCTTTATGAGCAAGGGACTGCAGCAAGGGGGTGCATAGGGAATCCCCAACTAAGCAACATAACAACTGGGGTTCTCAGGATCTCCTTTAATGTTAAACACATCAGGCTCCCAGGCACACCTGTGAGTGTGACCCTGCCCCCGAGTAACCTGGGAAGGAAAAAAGGGGTTACAGTGATAATGCCCATTAGAAAAAATAATCCCAACTCTATCTGTAAAGTGATGGGGATTAAATTAGCTGTTACCACTCAAGAGAGATCTTGGAGTCAGTGTGGAGAGTTCTCTGAAAACACCCACTCAGGTTAGGTCTAGACTGAATCCCTCTGTTGACAGAGAGATGTAGATTAGGCACATTGAAGTTGCTAATGAAGCCGGGATTTAAATATCCTGTGCCTCATTAGCATAAATATGGCCACCTCTTTTTTCAAAACGGAGTTTTTTTGAAGAAAAAAAAAGCAGTCTAGACGCGGATCTGTCGAAAATAAAGCCTTTTTCAATAGATCCTGTATTTCTCAAACAATGAGGTTTACAGGATCTGTTGAAAAAAGCTTTATTGTCAACAGATCCGCATCTAGACTGACTTTTTTTTTCAAAAAAACTCCATTTTGAAAAAAAGCGATGGCCATGTTTATGCTAATGAGGCGCAGGATATTTAAATCCTGGCTTCCTTAGCAATTTTGATGTGCCTAATCTATATCTCTTTGTCTTCAGAGAGGTGTAGTCTAGACACCCTCAGGGTGCAGCAGCAGTCAAAAAAGCAAATAGAATGTTAGGAATCATTAAAAAAGGGATAGGGAACAAGACAGAGAATATCTTCTTGCCTCTATATAAATCCATGGGACGCCCACGTCTTGAATCCTGTGTACAGATGGGGTCACCGCATCTCAGAAAAGATATAGTGGCATGGGAAAAGGTTCAAAAAAGTGCAACAAAAATGATGAGGGGTTTGGAGAGGCTGCCCCATGAGGAGAGATGAAAAAGACTTGGACTTTTCCTCTTTGAGAAAAACAGACTAAGGGCTGACATGATACAAGCTTATAAAACCATGATGGGTATGGAGAAACTGAATAAGGAAAAGCTATTTACTTGTTCCCGCAATATAAGAACTAGGGGTCACCAAATGAAATGAATAGGTCGCAGGTTTAAAACAAACCAAAGGAAGTTTTTCTTCACTCAGCGCACAGTCAACCTGTGGAACTCCTTGCCAGAGGATGTGGTGAAGACCACGACTAGAGCAGAGAGATTCATGGAGGTTAGGTCCATCAATGACTATTAGGCAGGTTGGGGAGGAATGGTGTCCCTAACCTCTGTTTGTCAGAGGCTGGAAATGGGTAACGAGAGGGATCACTTGATGATTCCCTGTTCTGTTCACTCCCTTTGGAGCACCTGGCATTGGCCACTGGCAGCAGATAGGACACTGAGCTAAATGGACCGTTGGTCTGATCCAGTGTGGCCGTTCTTATGTTCTAATGTATTGACTGCTGCTGCCCATTCAATGGATGTGCTCAGAGAACTATCCACAATGGCACTAAGAGGTCTATGGGAGGCAGTAACAGCTAATTTAGAGCGGAGACCCTCTGAGCTGTGCGGCCATGTCCCATACCCAGATCCTCAGGGCCATCTTCTGCCCTCCTACCAAGGACACCTGGCTCAAGCCTTTTGGGAACTGCAGCTCCCACCTCCAAGCCCTCTCAGCCTTCTACGTCCCCAGTCTCTTCTTCATCGGGGAAGATGGGCAGAGAGAGACACCCTGACATCAGCTCCCTCCACCCCAGCACAGAGCGCAGGAAGGTCCGGGGAACAGCTGGCGGGGGTCCAAGGCAGAGTCAGAAGCAGGGTGAGGTGGTGGGAGGGGCCCTCCGATCCGCTTTGTCAGATGTGTCTGTGCGCGGCTGCACCCCTGTGCACTTCCCGATCCCAGCGAGGGGTATGGAGACTGGCCAGTCGTGTCTCTGATGTTCAGACGCTGACGGGCTCCAGCACCCCGCCACCAGCCAGCTCAGCACGGAGCTCAGTCTGAGAGCCAGGGCTCCAGGAGAAATTCTAGGGCCCTGTATGTGAAGAGCAGGAGCAGCCTCTCCCGGGTCCATTTAGTCCACACCCCGTAGACGATGGGGCTGATTGTGGGGGCGGGGGGGCAGCAAGAGGAATATTTTGACGATAAGAATGCGGAAATACAGGGGCATGTTCTGGCCAAACACGAGATCCATGTGCCCCTTCTCTGCAGAGTGTGGGAGGAATCCTGGAGCCCCAGGGCTGGAAGAGACCTCAGGAGTCATCGAGTCCAGCCCCCTGCCCAAAGCAGGACCAACCCAACTCAATCAGCCCAGCCAGGGCTTGGTCAAGCTGGGACTTTGAAACCTCTAGGGATGGAGATTCCACCCCCTCCCTAGGGAACCCATCCCAGCACTTCCCACCCGCCTAGGGAAATCGTTTTTCCTAATATCCAACCTAGTCCTCCCCCCCCCCCTCCCCCACCGCCACATGAGACCGTTGCTCCTCGTTCTGTCACCTGCCAGAGGGGCAGGGCTCAGACGTGCAATTCAACTGCTTGCAGATGCTGTGGTCTGAGGGAGCCTTCCGACTGGTGAGCGCCCCGTGCACCAGAGCGCATGGTCCCCAGAACTCACCACTGCCTGTCGCACACACTCACCATTTGTGTGTGTTTCTCTCTGTCTCACAGACACAGGGAGTACGTCTAGACTACAGGGTTCTGTCGACAGAAGTTTTGTCGACAGATACTGTTGACAAAGAGCATCTAGACTACAGCCAGTTCTGTCGACAACGCAAGCCGCTTTGTCGACGTGACAGTGTGGATGCAAAGGACAGTGCAGATGCAATAACTCCTTCTGTCGACAGAACTCTGTCAACAAAAGGCGTTATTCCTTGTAGAATGAGGTTTACATACGTCGACAAAACTGCTGAGTTTTGTCGACATTATGTCGACATAACTCAAAGGCAATGTGGACACAGATATAGTTTTGTCAACAAAAGTCCACTTTTGTCGACAAAACCCTGTAGTCTAGACACACCCAGGGACTCACACGCTGTCAGGCTCACATATGCACACACCAGCACCCACCCACAGTCTGTCTCACACGCACACACACTACCTCTCTCACATTCGGCTCCCAGCACACACCTGGGTGAGGGTTCCTGCCCTCACCTCGCCACGTGTCCTGCCTGGCACGCACCTGCTCTGTCGGGCTTGGCTCTCCAAGACCTGTGACTTTAGTTCTTCAGAGCATTTCAAAATGGAACTTCTCTCTCGTGCGTCAGTGGAATGCTGTGGGCAGTGCGTTGAAAATACCCAACCTGTGCTGGTGCACATCCGCACATTACCTGGCTAGCACGGCACCTAACAAAATCCATTCTGCACACAAAGGGGAAACTACAGACTCAGAGGGGATGTTGACTGTGTAGCCTGTTGTGCTAGTGAATTTGGGGCTGGAGGATGCACCACCATGGCTTTGTCTGCGGCTGAACAGAGCGAGAGGCGTCTCTGTTGCTCCCTTCCCAAGGAGAGTCCCAAGGGTAGGGCCCACGCAGCCATTCGTCAGGACACGGTCTGGTCTGGTGGATGTTTTATTGAGGTTACAGTTAGAGTGATGATCACACATGCAGGTAGAACAGCAACACACAACTCTGGCCGGTGACATACATTTACACACCCCTCCGTAACAACAGCGGTGGGCTCTGAGTGGCAGTGTGCCCTCTCATGCTTTCAATCTACATTTTCTTCTGTGTGCGAGGCATGCACGGAGGTGCACCACCAATAGACACACGTGTTGGCAGATGTGGGTGCTGTGATCGCCCTGCTAATCAGCTAGGTTGCACTGGAGTCTCCCCTGCGCTTGCAGGATGCCCAGGACTTGTGGCTTGTATGTCAGGACAGGGATGGTTCCTGCAGGATTCTCCCCGAGTAAGGTCAGTTCCTCCCATCTGGGCTCCCCATTCACACGCTGAGCACCTCTGCCCCTATGCGCCCCGCGGGTCCATAGCGATGTCGGCTCTTTGCCCTGATTGCTCCTCTGTGCCCCCGGGAGCCTCAGGAACCTCACTGTTCTGTGCACTGATGAGGTTCCCTGGGTTCCCCTTGGCGCACAACCCACATGCTGTGACTGAGACCCGTGCTGAGACGTGCGCTTGTGCACAGCTGTTATGATCCAGCCTTGACCCGGGGCAACGTGGCACAATATTAGCATGTGGCCTGGCTATTCCCCAGGCTGTGAGCGCTGGCTTGTCCCCTTGGAACTCTTTTCTTATGCCTGTATATTTATATCTGCCTCTAGAATTTACACTACATGCATCTAACAAAGTGGGTCTTTGCCCACGAACGCTCATGCTCCAATACATCTGTAAGTCTATAAGGTGCCAAAGGACTTTTCGTTGTTCTTGCAGATTCAGACTAACACGGCCACCCCTCTGATACCTCTCTCCACAGGCTCTGGAGCCACTTTGGGATGGGACCAGAACCCCATAGAGCATTGAGGGTTCACTTCCTGCATGTCCTCCGGCCAGAGCCTGTTTCTGCTACAGCCATAGCCCTGTCCCCAGACCTCCTGCAGTCCTGAGGCAACCCATCTCTTGCCCCAGCGTCTTCTGGCTCCTTTGGTCTCCGTGTGTTGCACAAGTTAGCCCAACCCCTCCTCATCCTGCACCCTCTGCTGGGAGGGCTCCTTCCTTGCCATGTCCGCTCTGTGCTGAGATGCTGCAGAAAGATGGTTCTATCTACAGGGCCACTGAAAGGTCCTTCAATGACAAGTGAGATCATCAGGTTTCCACGCATCTAGGCCTTTTCTGGTCAGGCTGTTCTGGCCATTGTGTCCTGCCAGATTCTGTGCCCAAGGCCTCGGATTTGTGTTTCAATCTGTATCTTGAAGGGGATCTGTTCTGTATGGCTCCTGCAAGGCAGCAGGGAGGCAGCGAGTCATAAAACCCGAAACTGACCCTGTTCCGCCAGGGCCACCTTCTTCCTTCAGGGAGCCCAGTGGGGGCAGGGCTGGAGGTGGAGAAGGTCCGTGGAATGATGGGTGAGAAGGGTATAAAAGGCAGGGACAAGGCCAGGGTGATGGTGGAGGCATTGAGAGGGGCGGCTGGGTTCCACTAGAGTAGGTGGGATACGGGGAGGGGCTTGGAGAAATAAGTGGGGTCTGGGGAAAATGTCTTTTTGCTTCCCCAGTTTGTGTTTCAGGGAAAGGGGCCCAGTTACCCGTCACCAGCCAGCTCTGCATGAAGCTCAGTCTCACAGCCAGGGCCCTAGGAGAAAATGCTAGTTCCCTTTAGGGGTAAAGAGCCGGAGCAGGCGCTCCCAGATCTGTTTGGTCCGCACCCCATAGATGATGGGATTTATCATGGGGGTGACAAAAAGGTACATCTTGCCGATAAGAACATAGAAGTATGGGGGCACGTTCTGTGCAAACCGGCTGGTGAGGGAGGAGGAGAAACCAGGGATGTAAAAGATAATGATCACACAGAGGTGGGAGCCACAGGTCCCAAAAGTCTTGAGCCGGGCGTCCTTGGTGGGGAGGCGGAAGATGGCCCTGAGGATCTGGGTGTAGGACATGGCAATGAAAATCACATCCAGACCATTTACACAGAAAAACCCAAAGAGGCCGTAGGAGCTACTGACACTGGTGTCAGCACAGGCCAGCTTCACCACGGCGATGTGTGCGCAGACCGGCTCAGGGACGAGGTTGGTTCTGCAATACGGCCACTGCCTCGCCAGCAAGGGGTAGGGCAGTGAGACTATGGTACCACGCAGCACCACAGCCAGGGCAATCCTGGCCACTACTGTGTTCGTCAAGATGGTGGAATGTCTCAGGGGATGGCAAATGGCCACGTAGCGATCATAGGCCATGGCCACCAAAATCCCAGACTCGATTCCTGAGAAACAGATAATGAAGAACATCTGGGTTAGGCAGGCTCTGAAATCGATCTCCCTGGAATTGAACCAGAAGAGGCTCAACATTTTGGGCATGGTGCATGTAGACAGGACCAGGTCGGCAAGAGCCAGCATGCAGAGGAAATAGTACATGGGCTCGTGGAGTGTTGGCTCCTTCTTGACGACGAAGAGGATGGCGACGTTCCCCAAGATGGCTATGGCATACATGATGCAGAAGGGGATGGTGATCCAGACATGGGCAGCCTCCAGGCCAGGGATGCCCTGCAGGATGAAGGTGGAGGGGTTGCCGGTGAAGTGGGTTGTGTTGGAATCTGGCATGGAGTAGAGGAGAAGGTGTCCAACTCGGAGGCAGAACGGGGACTTCAGCATGTGCCGTGCGATCCCTGAGTTATACCATGTGCCGAGGGTGCAGGGAGATGGTCACAGACCCAATGCCTGGATGGAGAGACAACGTTCATGTGAGACACGACATGACAGAGCGCAGGCTGTTCTCTGACCGAAGCAGGTTGCTCGCGCCTCACGCTGTGACCAATGGCTTGTGCATTAATCAGAGAAACGAATTAGGAAACACTGACCCTGCTAATGCCAATTCCACACCCCACCGTGCCCCCTGTGTCAATGACATGCCATGGTGTGATGTGGGGAAGCTCCCAATCTATTGGGTGAACACCGGCCACCTTCCTGCAGCCCAGGCCAGGCGGCCCACGTGGCAGCGACTTTCCCATTCACCAAGCTGCTCGAGAACTGAGAGGAAACCCCAAAGCTGTGGAGAAGACGTGTGCTGGGAGAAACATCCAGACTAGACCTCACCTCAGGAGAAAGACCCGAGCACCACGCACAGAAGCTCAACAGCAACACCTGCGCCTTTGAACAGCGCCCGACTCACAGTGATGTCTGGGTGCCTGAGGAAGGGGGCAGAGAATCACCTGCTCTGGGCAGGGGCGCTGTCTGTTTTCCATGTCTCCAGAGGGGATGGAGGGGACTGAAAGGGGGTTTCCAAGACAAGTTCTGGGAATGGGGTGACTCCTCCATGAGGGCAGAGGGAAAAGTCCGGGGCTGTGTATCTGGGAGAGGCAGTAAGGAAGGGAGAACCGTACAGAGGAGAGTCAGGCCCCAGAGAACCCCTGGCCCTGACAGCCCTGGTCTGGGGTCTGGTGGCTGGGAGTGGGACGGCGGGCTGGCATCTTGCAGAAGAGCCGGAAGCCTGGCACCTGGGGTTGGACCGACAGCTGTAGCAGCCCGGGGAGCAGAGCCTGCAGCCAGGGCCAGAGCAGCAGTGGTACCCAGCTGGGCTATGGAGCCTGGTGTCTATGAAGGAGCCAGACGGGCACCAGGGCCAGCACTGTAGCTGGGTGGAGGTGTGAAGCCCGGAGAGCAACCTGGCTGGGTTGGCTGATGGAGCCTGGGAGAGCCCAGCGTCCGTCAGCAGAGGGCTGCAAATTAACCTCGCTTGGTCCAGTGACCTCCCTCACATGGGACTGGGGAGGCCCCGAGGGTGCCGGCCTGGGGAGGGCCGAGCTGTAATAATTCTTGTAATCTGGTGGGAAAAGGCAGGACACGCCCTAGTGAGGTTGAAACCAGGCAAATTACAACCGGAAATGAGGCCCGAATATTGAGCACTGATGGTGATCAATGCTTGGGAGAAACAATGAACTCCAACTCCCCATGGTTCCAAGTCCAGACTGGATGCTTTTCTGGCAGATCAGTGCAAGGGGGAGAGGGTGAATAAAGAAAAGTTATTTATTAGTTCCGAGGACACCAAATGAAATTAATGGGTAGCAGGTTTAAAACGAATAAAAGAAAGTTCTTCTTCACACAGCGTGTAGTCAATCTGTGGAACTCCTTGCCAGAGGAGGCTGGGAAGGCTAGGACTATAACAGAGTGTAAAGAGAAGCTAGATATTTTCATGGAGGTTAGGTCCATAAAAGGCTATTGGCCAGGGGATAAAATGGTGTCCTTGGCACTGTTTGTCAGAGGCTGGAGAGGGATGGCAGGAGACAGATCGCTTAATCGTAGTCTTTGGTCCACCCCCTCCGGGACACCTGGTGCTGGCCACTGTCGGCAGACAGGCTACTGGGCTAGATGGACCTTTGGTCTGACCCAGTACGGCCGTTCTTATGTCATGTCCTTATGTTATAGCTAGAAGCTGCAGAAGCTCCGCATTTGTACTTCAGGGTAGACACTTCCTACACCAATGACAGTTCTGTCACAAAGGATCCTCAAGAGGTCATCTAGTCCACTCCTCTGCTCTCAGAACAGACCTCATTCCTATCTAGAACTTCCCTGATAGATTTCTATCTAATCTGCCCTTAAAAATCTCCAATGAGTGTGAATCCACAACCCCCATAGGCAATTCATTCCTGGGCTTAACCACCCTGAAAGTTAGGATGTTTTTCCTAATGTCCAACCTAAACCTCCCTTGTTCTCCAGTACTTCTTGTGCCCCTGTCAGAAGTTGTATGAGGATGCTCAGCTGTATGAGTTTGCAGGTAAATTATTACTCAGCTCTACTCAGCGTGGGCTAGACCCCAGGGGGGTTCTGACTCGAATTTGGCTCACGGCTCTGTAGGGAGGATGCAGAGAATCTGGAAAGGATCCACAGGCAGGTGGGTTCCAAGCCCTCTGAGCAAGCTGAGGCAGGAGGTTTCGGTTACTTTGGGAGGGAGGAGGTTGAGGGGACATGGGAGCCGACTGCAACTCCGTGAAAAGCTGCCGGGAAGTAGGAGAAAAGTCGTTCTGTCACTAGAAAGACGGGGAAGTTCTCTCCTGCCCCAGCGTGCAGGACAAGGGGCTGGGCTTCATACGGCAGCAGCACAGACTTAGGTGAAACTGTAAGAAAAGGTGGAGACTGGAGCCAATTCCTAGGGGTGGTGGACGCTCCTTCCCTGGAGTTACGGAAAGGGGGCTGGGAGCCCTCTGTCGAAAGGGCTTAGACACAAAGTGCCCTGTATCTGGCAGGGGGTGAGACTAACTCTTCCCTTTTCACATGTAGCCCTGCGATTCTTCAGTGCACAATCCTAGGGTGGGCCGGGAGGGAGGGACGTACTGGCCCGTGTGCGGGAAATCGGACTGGATAATCGAATGCTCAGTCCCACTCTTAAACCCTACGAGTCTCCCACTGCAGGCCGCAGAGCTGGGTTTGCATTGCCTGGGTCCCACGACACGCGGGAAAGGGAACAGTCAATTCCACGGGACGTCGCCAATGTGACACTGGTTCAGGAAATGGATCCCCGCAAACCCTGCTTGGCCTGGGGCTCGGGGCAATGTTTGCACTAAGAGCTCAGCGGGTTGGGTGGGGCCATTGCTGCGGGGGCTGGACCCGGCCATGCGTGTCGGGTCTGACACCCTCCCCTGGCGGAACTCCTCGTCCAGGGCCGACGCCTTGGCCCAACTCGCCTTTGTGCTGCGATTTCCCGCACTGGAGCTGCACGGCCGCTGGAATCGGGTTTGCGAGTTTGGGGCAGGGCGGGTCGACCAAATTTGAAGCTGGGAAGTGCCTCTTGCTGCCCTTGAAACGAGGGCGTGGTTCCTCCAGCGAGGTGTCTTCGCGCCTGCCTGCCCCTGAGCAGACACAAGGCAGATCTCTGCTGCCTCCCTAACGCCGAGCCCTGGGATGCAGGAGGGGGGCGGGGTCTGGGCATTCACACCCCGCTGGCTGCCGAGGGCTTTGCTCAGCCCTTCCTGCAAAGGGATAGAATTGTAGAACACTAGAATTGGCAGGGCCCTCAAGAGTCATTGAGTCAGGTCCCCTGCCTCATGGCAGGACCACGCACCCAGATCATCCCTGCCAGGTGTCTGTCCATCATGCTCGAATGATGGAGATTCCACAACCCCCTTAGGTAATTTATTCCAGTGTTTGAACATAAGAACGTAAGAACGGCCGTACTGGGTCAGACCAAAGGTCCATCTAGCCCAGTATCCTGTCTACCGACAGTGGCCAGCACCAGGTGGACTGAAGACAATGATCAAGCGATTTGTCTCCTGCCATCCCTCTCCGGCCTCTGACAGACAGAGGCCAAGGACACCATTTTATCCCCTGGCTAATAGCCTTTTATGGACTTAACCTCCATGAAATTATCTAGCTTCTCTTTAAACTCTATTATAGTCCTAGCCTTCACAGCCTCCTCTGGCAAGGAGTTCCATAGGTTGACTACACGCTGTGTGAAGAAGAACTTTCTTTTATTAGTTTTAAACCTGCTCCCCATTAATTTCATTTGGTGTCCTCTAGTTCTTCTATTATGGGAACTAATAAATAACTTTTCTTTATCGGCCCTCTCCACACCACTCATGATTTTATAGACCTCTATCATATCCCCCCTCAGTCTCCTCTTTTCTAAACTGAAAAGTCCCAGTCGCTTTAACCTCTCCTCATATGGGACCCGTTCCAAACCCCTAATCATTTTAGTTGCCCTTTTCTGAACCCTTTCCAAGGCCAAAATATCTTTTTTGAGGTGAGGAGACCACATCTGTGCACAGTATTCAAGATGTGGGTGAACCATAGTTTTATAGAGGAGCAGTAAGATATTCTGGGTCTTATTTTCTATCCCTTTCCTAATAATTCCTAGCATCCTATTTGCCTTTTTGACCGCCGCTGCACTCCCCTTTGACCACCCTGACAGGTAGGAACTTTTTCCTAATGTCCAACCTAAACCTCCCTTGCTGCAGTTTAAGCCCATTGTTTCCTGTTCTTTCCTCCGAGGCCAAGGAGAACAATTTCCCCTCCTCCTCCCTGTAACACCATTTTAGATACCTGAAAACCGCTATCATGTCCCCTCGCAGTCTTCTCCTTTCCAAACTAAACAAGCCCAGTTCTTTCAGTCTTCCCTTATGGCTCATGTTCTCTAGTCCTTTCATCATTCTTGTTGCTCTTCTCTGATCTTCCCGTTCTCTGTGTGAAACTGCTTGCTTCTTCCTAAGTGGAGCACTTTCCATTTGTCGTTATTAAACTTCATCCAATTTACCTCCGATCATTTCTCCAGTTTGTCCAGATCAGTTTGAATGATGACCCTATCCTCCGAAGCACTCACAGCCCCTCTCAGCTTGGGATCATCTGCAAACTTAATAAGTGTCCTCTCTATGCCATCATCTGATCCGTTTATGACAGAACAGAACCAGTCCCCAAACAGAACCAGTCCCCAAACACCGGTATTCTCTCAGTGGGGCTGAGCAAAGTAGGGGTCATTGCAGCAGGATTTGGCGTTGTATTGT